ACGGACGCTACAAAATTTTGTGTTAAGATGTGGTTTCAATTTTGGATTGTTGGAATTTTCAGTTAAATATGGATTTGGACACAGTAATTTTTTTAATGTATTGAAATACCTTTAAAAACACATTTTACCGAAGAAAAGTTATTGTCAAGCATAATATTTCCTTTCAGGGGCCCCTTGAAATCAACTATGTTAAAAACAGAAAAATCCGTAACAGAGCTCCCCTTTTACATTCAATGGCTTTTGTCTCATATGTTACACTATATTATGCCCAAATGATTTTCAAACAACATAATACCTTACAACTGATATCTTTAGTCAAACGAAATGCAATAAATTACAATACCAAATTACATATCCACTACCTGAAATTATTACACAACTGCAGTGACCCTTCGTAACAACTAAAAACGGCTGTATTTAGGGTATTCAAATTAGTATATTTTTGCCAATCTATGTTCCATTTTCAAAAAAATTTTTTTTGATTGCTCCGACTAAGTGCCATCTACCAGATTGAACAAGAGTGAGCACTAGATTGGTTTTGATAATACTTAGAGGCAATGTAACATGCTCAATTTTGAAAGTGTACGTCTGATTGTGAAATAGCCGATGGTGTTTATCTCCATGGTTACTGTAGGGCAGTTTAAAGGGTGAGAATATTCATTTAGTAGTCTTTAGGCAAGCAGCAGCACGTTGCAGAGTAATATCCAATGGGAAGCAGGCATTAAGCTAGTACGTACAAAGACATAGTTATTGGCATCGTGGTTAGGGCATGAAATGTAGGTTAGTATGTTAGTAAGCAAAGCATGAAGCAAAACTAAATTATAAAGAATAAAACTTATGAGAAAAATCTATCTAAACATACAATGTCAAAGTAAATTGACATTTAACAAATAAACAATTAAAGAAAAATATCTCAAATAATGACCGTCAAATTAACACCGAACAAAATTAACCAAAACCCATTTAAGCATTCAAATTTTGAATATCATTTCTATTATATCTATTTTACTGACAAAGTTGAGAAAATTATCGCATTTTCCTACATTCACAAAGCGTAATAAGGTTAACCAAAACCAATGCCAACAAGTAAACTATAACACCGGTTAAAGTATAGCCTTCACGTACCAGTTCCAATGTGGGTGGCGTCGATCTTCATGCAGCCGTTGGTGTTGGGGCAGTCTTGGACGTAATCAGGGTCGTCTGCTGTAGCCGCAAGTGTCTCACCGCAGTTAGGGTCGCCGTTGTTGCAGACGTAGCATTTGATGGCCGTCCCTGCATTGCAAAGAAGGTTGATAAAATTATTTATTCAACATATAAGATACAGGGGATTGTATTGTTTTTATGTGTTCTATTATTCACTGGAATACCATAGCATTAGGGTACACCTGAGTAGTCCCATTCTAATAGAAATGCGACGTTTGTCGCAACTATCGCATTGTAAACACGCGGCGGTCGTCCTTTTCGAAGTTCAGTTGTTAAAGGCTCCGTCACACCTAGCGTAAGGAAGCGTGTGAGTATCGTATGTGACACGGATAATAGACATAACTTTGAGCATTTAAAATACCCTAGTTTCCAGCTTATTAAAATGAAGATATAAGCAGCGTAGGAAATTACTTTTGAACAAACTCAAAACATTTCATCTTTCTCCAGGTATGCGAACGTACTCCAACGTTTGACTGCGTACTCGAGACGTATACGGCGAAAGTCTAACAAACCCCTGCGTTTGTCTGCGTAAAGGCAATTTTCCCCACACTAACACGTTCATGCTATACGCTATTGTTAAAGTAACTTAACCACAATTTTAGCACATCCGTTTGTCCACAAATTTATGCTGAATAATCCGGATCTTTATTCTTTGGTTTATTAACTAGGAAGGACAAAAGACTGAAGCTAGTATAGCAAGTCGAGGCTGTGGATGTTGTTTAAGTTGCGTAACGTTGTAGGAGTGCTAATTGTAGTCTTTTTTCATTTAGCCTTTTGCGCATTTGAATACTTTCGGGAAAAAAATACCTGCAAAATAATCGTTGAAATGAACGTTTAAAATATACAAAAAAAAAAAAAAAAAAAAAAAAAAAAAAAAAACGCGTCGGTGTTTTCATGGTGTTTATCACGAGAGAGAGAGAGAGAGAGAGAGAGAGAGAGAGAGGTTGCTTCATTTGCTGAAACCAACATTTATACTACATGTAGTAAGTAAACAATATTTCACAGACGTTTTGTATCCAACTTAAGCCCCAGCTTATAAAAACAAAATCACACTTGAATCTCAACGCAAAAGAAATAGAAAACATAAATGTAGCCTTTGTGAATGTCACTGATTTATGTTGACAAAAGGACGGGAGACTCAAAAGACCCAAATGCGAAGATTATTTTAAGTGATATCTGTCCCTTATCCCAAAATCTACTTCTTGTAACATGTACATATGCATGAACAATGTCATATAGCTCTACTAGCTAGGATTTTATTTATAACTGTATTTACTTTATTTTACTCACTTAAACTACATGCTTCACATGTGAGACTTCTCTTGCACAAGGTATTACTCAGAAATCAAAAAGACATTTATTCTGTGTTGCCACTATCAACCCTTGATTTAGCACCGATTATCTTTTCTAAAGGAAGAAGGGGATGTTATGGTTCTTAACACTATCGGTCAAGCTTATAGTAACCCCAACCCTCTGTCATCAATTATCATTAAATAGCACTCTCACTAATGTACGTAGTATAAACACACTTGACAGCAGTGATCCCTCTGATCAGTAGACAATGTATATATTCCAGCACACTTAGAAATAAAGTTAGTTGTTGCAGTCGAGTCCTTCCTGGAGTTGTTTCACCTGTGTTGCTTTGTATTGCGCATTTTGGTATTAGTACACATATATTTATGATACTGACATCACATACAGCACCATGTAATAGGGGGAATAATAAATTTGCTGACCAAAAAATGAAAAGAACAAGTTTGAGAAAGTCTCAGAGTCAGACATGCTGAAACTGTCGTTCCACTCAGTTATGACCGGGAAAATTTGTCTGGTACTATCTGTCTCAAACGAATAGAGTGATTTTCGGTCCGACAAAAATCCATTCGGTGTGGCAAAGTTTTCATTACTGCCGGTGTGGCGTGATAGACCCGTGCCATGACGAAACCGTTCTGCACATGCGCATTGAGGGTAGATTGAAAGAAGTAACTTCCGGTATGACGATGTTGTCCTAAGTAGGCGCTATATTTGCACTGAACTATGATTTTCCAATTCATAATTCAGTGGTCTTCGTCATGAGAGAGTATGTATTTGATAATCTTATTACTACAGTATAAGGGGGAATTTTGGAAGTGAGCTTTTGATTGTGACTGAACTGTTTTGCTCTGTGTGAAAAACGTGACAGATCTAAGACTTGTAGCATAAATCTTTTCACTCTACAATGTTCTTTCAATTCAGAGTTCAGTCATTTTCATTAAAAAGAAATTGTGTGTTTGATAATACTACAACTTTCTCTACGGGGAAATGATGGATATGCATGTGCAGCTACGTACTGTAAGTCAACAGACTGCTACCCCCGCGTGAATAATCCGTCAGAACGGTTTAATCACGACGACGGTTTCTTCACGTGACACCGGTCCAAATGTCCTGGCATTCTGAAAAGTTTTCAGCATGTCTGAATTCTAACATTTCTACGTGGAAAATGAGGGTAGGATCTGAATATTTTATAATATTTATCCTACTTAGTTTAAATACTATAACATCCACATTAAAGATGCGTAAGTAAATGAGAGAGAGAGAGAGAGAGAGAGAGAGAGAGAGAGAGACAGAGACACCTACTTCTGACTACCGATATCTTTCACATCAAATGGTTCCAATGCATCTATATACGCCTCTGCCTCAACAGACATTAAAACTTGACCTTCTCCCGTCGCCATCTCCAATATTTTTTAAAATTTCTGAAGAATTCTAACATGCAATTTTGTTGCTACAACTGTTTGTAATTATTATTCTTATTCCTAGACGGCAGTAAAATCCAAGGAAAGACAAAAGTAAAATAACAATTTGTTTTATGCCATATGTGATTGATGATACTAGATTGTAGTTAAAAACTTAATGATTGCCACTATAAATCATGCAAAATATATTAAAACAGCAAATCCAATTTTTGTCGCTTCAGTTCTTTTTACAATGGGTCCTGTCTTACTTCTGCATCTCGAAAGATGGCGCTTCACTGGCGCACGCGGATTCGGTGGACGCATGCAAGTCTCTTTTGTGCTTTCACCTGTTAATCGATAAGTTCATCATTTTAAAAACATGTAAAGGTGAGTCGGGTCGTTAGTGTCATGAAGTATATGAAAATANGGAAGTCATTCACTAGCAATCTAAATGTGACCTTGAAATTGACCTTCAACCTACTTTTCACCATGAACAGAACTTTGCAAATTTTGCTTCCCTTTTATCTCCCAAACTGGCAGAGATAGGTCCAAAGTTACTTTTGAAGTTGAATAGGAAGTCATATACTGGCAATCTTACTGGGAAATTGACCTTTCACCTACCTTTTGAGGAACTTTTGATATATTTTTTTGCATATTTTGAAAATTCTTGATGATTGCATTTTTACAGCTTGTCAAGCAAAAGACTGGTGGCTGTGTCCCTTATTTTGTGTATGTGGGGGTCTATACGAATGCGCTTGCTCCAGCTGGTGGTACAATATTTGGAGGCGGTATCGCCTCTCTGATCCTCTAGTTATATTTAATATTTTTAAGAACATCACAATGGAAGCTAAGGAATCTTCCCTAATGGAAATGCTAGTTCCAAAAAAGAACTTTGAAATCTTCACCTGTGGATACAGTGAGAGCACGTGTGAAGAAAGGGAGTCCTATGATGTCAGTCTTTCGTTGGGTGGGTTTGAGACTAAGTGGAACATGCATGAAGGCGATGATTATGAAAAGGTTAGTTTTTTGATAATTTATACTGTTCAAAATTATTGACATGAGATGGACACTAAAGACGAGTGTCTTTTTATCAAAAATAAATGTAATAGTAGAAAGCATTAAGATACCACAATCCTCCAAAAAGAAAAGTGAATTCTCATTATTATTGATATATGAAAACTACAAAACAGCATAAAAATATTTTAAGAAAAAATTGTGTGTCATTGCCTTTTCAATCCAAGGAGGCAAGTTGTCTAATATGTGTGCGATGTGTACCATTAAAATTGGCCAAGGCAGTGTTTCAATTGTAATCAGTATCACCTAGATAGTCCTATGGTGTTGTTAGACCCATTTGTAACCTATCCTGAAATTGTCATCTAAACCTTCCCATAACTTTCGGTTAAGTGTTGCAAACAGACATACAAACATAACTAACAGAGCCAGAAACAAAAACCTCCTTTGGCAGAAATGATAACAATAATTACACAGGCCTTCTTCACTGCCACACAGGATTATGAGATTTACTGATGTTCCACAGATATTACATTTCAAACACAATTCTACCAATATTCCAATATTCGTCACAGCAAAGACATCTTGTGGGTTTAGACGTACAGGGGGGAGACAAAATATTGCACCATTTTCACGAAAGTTAAACACAGCTAGGCAAGTTCAGTTTTCAATTAGTATTTTATTGAAAGCTGGCTGTGTCAAGTTAGTATATTTAGTACTGGTTTACAGACCAATGTTGTTATTGTGTCAGCATATATATTTTGTACAACAGTCTGGAAGCAATGTGACCTCAATATGGCCACCATCATTCTGGAGATAGACTGATAAAGGTTCAGTAATCTTCTGGGTCCAGCTATAAAGTCATTCCAGATTATAAGTTTCTGGTAAAGGGGCATTTGAAGAAAATAGTTGTTTCCAGAATTTGTTTTTGAAAAGTGACACTAGTTTCTAGTTGCCAGGCTACATTTTGAAAAACAACACTAGCTTTTGGTGACCAGTTTTGTTTTAGACAACAATTAATGCTCCTTAACAACTCTGGGGCCGGTTTCACAAAGCAGTAGTTAGTTAGAACAACTAACTACTGAACTACCTCGCTAACGAGCAAACTTAGCGATTTTCGAGGGGTGTTTCACGAAGCAGTAGTTAACTTATCGCTAAGTTCAGTCGTAAAGTTCGGTCGCTAGTTCTCTCGTTACTCACCTTAGTCTCGAAACCGTCTGCCGGAAGTGGAACTCTTGCGTAAAAGTGTCACGAAAGCACTAACTCTCCAATTTTTGGTGGCTGGAAATGCATAAGAACATCTGCTTTGAGGTCGTCGTAAAGGATCTCCACCACCTTTTTGCCGCTCTTTTTGTCACAGCTAGGCGCAACCTCTCGTAAATTGCATCATCGTATGTATATTATAATAGATTCTGCCTTTCATGAAAACGTCATAGTCTACGTTGCCGTCTGGCGGTACGGATAGCAAGAAAGGTAGCCGCCATATTGGATACAAAGACGAACGACAGACAACGGTAACTAAGCAACCTTTTTATTTCACTCATTACGCATGCGTACGATGAAACTCTAAGAGTTAGCGACTGGTCTGACCAGTCGTTAAATATCCATGGTAACAACGAGACAATAACGAGCGAGAGAACTAGCGACTGCTTCGTGAAACGGCACTATAACTAGCGAGAGGCTAACTACCGATCGCTAACTAACTACTGCTTTGTGAAACCGGCCCCTGGGATGTTAGAAGAAAAGAAGTGCAAATACTGCAGAATAACTGTGAAATAATGAAGTAAAAAATATGTCTGATAATAATTCACTCCTTGGACAAGTTTTTAGATTGCGAAAGCTGATGTTAAAAAGCAATTGTAGAGAAAAATTATTTGTTGTATTTTAGGTTATGAAGTATGTCAAATTGTTCAAAAGCTGCCCAGAATATATAACATATTCCCTGATCCCCGCGGCAGAAGTCAGAGGGCCGATTGATGTGTTTGTTTGCAAGATACATGTAAAACAGAAAGGAGAAGAGGACTGGGAGGAGGATATTAAAGTGATGGCATCCACTGAGTTTGACATCCGCTGGAGGTTACCAGTAAGTAATCTGAGATCTGCAAGAAAAAGTTGTGTTGTTCTTTCAGAAGTGATATAATCCTTTGAGTGAATTGAAAGGAAAATGGGTTTCATGTTAGCGTAATGGTCAAAAATGGTTTAGCATTGCATTTTTATCTTTCTCTCTGTTTTCTTTTTTCCTTTATTATTATTTTTAATCATTGGTTATGAACATCATAACTTTTATTCAGGATCAACTTCAACAGGTATCCGGCTCTGACCAGCCACAAAAGCAGCAAGTTGATGCCAAGTACCAAACAAATGCCAGTTCCATTCCTGTCTCCCCGCCATTACCCCCACAACATAACCCTATGTCTGCTGAGGGTGGAGACCAAGGTACTTCTGATGCTACTGGCCCTCACACCGTTAGAACAATGGAAGACCAAGGTCTAAACCAGACTCATGTGGACAATCAGTTCAAAAGCCTGTCTATGGCCTTAACCCAAGGGGTTGCTGGGGCTCTAGGACAGACCCTTCCCAATACAGGCAACACACATATAACTTTCAATGTTCAGCAGGTTATCAATTATAACCCAGAGAAGGAATCCATGGGGCAGATGGAAGATGTGACAACATTATTTCATAAACATATTCCTCCACATGTGAGAAAACGACTGAATGAGACACTTTCTCAAGATGATGTATGGAACCAAGTGAAGAAAATGCATGGAATTTCAGATGAAACACCACGCCCTCACGATATTGTATCTTCTTTGTTGTCTCAAGTTGAGGGTTCTATTGCATCTTTCATCAGTGTGTTGTCAAAGTTAAAGGGATGCCACACAGAAGGAGAACTAGACATTCCACAAGATTTGATTGATGAAGTCAAGGTAACTGACCATTTGGTCTCATGAAGTAATCAGCTTTTTGTGGAATTTGACACTTAAATAAACAGTATGATATGTTTTGGCTTCAGTGATTTTACACTATGTATACCTCTGAAATATCTGTACTCCTTGGCAAATTTATCTCTTCAAGATCTTCATAAAATATTATTAAAACAAGGTTTGAACAAGCATCTATCCACACAAACTACTAACTCACTTTATATTTCTTTTCTAGAGTGGACTTAAGAGTGAAATGGAGTATAAGAAACTTAGACAGAATGGAATTCGCTTTGCTGAAGAAATTCATATTGACATTGGAAGAATTTTGAATTTCTTTTATCAATATGATATGATACCCGATGAGGAGATTACAGTGCTTAGAAATAGTGCCAGGGAAAATCCACATGATGCCTGTAGAAAGTTGTTTGAAAGACTAATTGCAAGCAGTCCTGAAAAACGACCCATCGAATGCTTGAAAGATGCCCTTAGACAATACCAACATTCCCATCTGGCAGATGAACTAGAAGTTAGCAGCCAGGATGTAGAGGATGAATTACAGAAACAGGAAATTGGAAGTGATCGGCCTTTTTGTGAAGAGCCGTTGGCGTTAGGAATTTAAGCTCCACCCATACCCTATTAGAGCACATTAAAACTACTTGTGTACAGTGTTTGACAGTATGTGTTAAGATTTTTTATCCTGTTTGGGTCACCGTGGACAAGGAACCTATGGTGTATATCCACCATATTACTTGCATGCTTTAGATATTGTCATCAGATAAATAAAGTGACCGCTGTTTTTAGTGATTTTGAGCAAACTTGCTGAAAATCTACAATGGGACATTCCATGATGCAATATAGATATTCCCCACATTTCATACTAAGAGCATTATTTGTGTTGTGATACTCATCTGTTCTTAAACAATTTAATGACACGTTTAGATGTGTCCTCAGAGAAGTATCTGCTGCTGTTTACCATCATCAGAGCCAGTGTAAACATTCCAGTACTTGTAAATATTTAGCTGACAATAATGACATATATTAATCAAGACAATCTAGTAGTTGTAAAGTTCTTGTATATATTTAGCTGACAATAATATCATACATTAATTAAGACAGTCTAGTAGTTGTAAAGTACTTGTATATATTTAGCTGAAAATAATGATATATATTAACCAAGACAATCTAGAAGTTGTAAAGTACTTTCAAATATTTAGCTGAAAATAATGTCATATACTTAATTAAGACAATCTAGTAGTGATATATATATATATATATATATATATATATATATATATATATATATATATATATAAAATTGAAAACACTAACAATACTTAATTGAGACACTATAGTTCTTGTAAATATTGAATGGAAAATATTCAAAATAATTAAGACGCCCTAGCACTTTTATAGTAGTTGTAAATATTGAATCGAAAGTACTAACAATACTTAATTAAGACACTTAAGTAATTGTAAAATACTTGTAAATATTGAATTGAAATTACAGACAATGCTTGATTAAAACAGTGCTCTCGTACTTGTTAAGTAGTTGTAAAAATTGACTTGAAAATACTGACAATATGAAATTAAGACAGTCTAATACTTGTAAATATTGATTTGAAAATACTGACAGTACTTAAGTAATTGTAGAATACCTGTAAATACATAACTGAAAATACTGATAATACTTAATTGAGAGCCTCTAGTAAATATTTAGCTGAAAATTCCAACAAAAATAAGACACTCCTGTAAAGTACTTGTAAAGTACCAGTAAATATTGGATCAAAAATACTGACAACATAGTTAAATATATATACCTCTCTAAATAACTGATTTAATGTGGGTACATAAATAATCACCTTAACATTCATATCTTGTGACATTTGTGTTTATTTCAATATATAAATTACACACCAGTGTATGTCTTGTTTTCCTTTTTATGGACAGACTCTGTCTGGACATTCACTCCTCAGCCGCATCTGCTTTTGTCTATAGTGCTGTCCTATGCTGTACTTTCTTCATTAACTCACAACATCAAATATCTTCATGAATATACGTGCAAGCCAAAGTCCCTACAGAATTTAATGCAGATGGAATTTAACCACAGTGAAAAGACGATAGGTTGACACTGTCCATGATTAAGACAGTGCTCTAGTACTAGATAGTACTTGTTAAGTAGTTGTAAATAACCATTTTGGTAAAAATTCATCACAGAAAACACTATGGGAACAGCCCTCTGATTCACAACACATAACAGTTTAAAGTTTGCATTTTAACATTGAGATATCAGGCTTGCTCAGTGACTGTGTACATGTGCTGCCACTTACTGGTGACCAATTGTACCAGCATGGCACAAGAGGCAGAGGTGCTGGTCAGCTGTATGTACCATGGGTAGGGTGTACAGACAGCTATGGCCACATCTTCATTGCTGACTGTTATAACAACAGGATAGTGGCACTGAGTCCACAGGGACAGTTTATCAGATACATTAATTGTCACTAAGGATGATGATAAACTGGTGTATCCTACGTACAGCAGTAGCCATCAACCCTGCTGACCTATTGGTGGCGGCTGAGGCACAGAGTGAATTGAGGACCTTCAATACTCGAAATGAAACATATTGCTCAGATTTTACATATTGTAATACTGGCCTCCTTAACTCGAAAGCCAATCGCTACTGAGTACAAGCATGGTGATTCGTTGCAATTCCGTAACTCATGAGCATCACAATTTCCAACCGAGTGCTTATAGTAATAGTGGTATATCACCTTTAGTCTGAGGTCATTATTTGTGGCGAGTAAATCCCATAGCAAAGGCCTTTGCACATACATGATTAGTCATTTTATGTGTCTTTCATGTAATTAAACATACAGTGTCTTTCATGTAATTAATTGGGTTTCTAGGGATAATAGCATATATATATAACTATGCATGAAAGCTAATGAAAGATGGAGTCACTCGGCACCTCTGATAGAAAAAAAAACTTGCGGTAAATTTTCATGTGCTAAAGTCATGTTTTGTCACGCATAAAAAATCAACTTTTAACATTTCATATATCATGTTACATTTTCTGATGGATGTTCATCTGTGTAGTCTTTTGATAATAATTATCTGTCAAACAATCAAGAATCACAACAGCAAGTTCACTTTGTTACCATTGAAGTAAAATACTGACAATACTTTATGAAAACGACATCCATCTTTCAAAAACTGACGTGTGGGTTATCTTCTCTATGATCTCCACACTAAAGCATAGAAATATATGCAAAAGTCTTTACATTTATCGTGTAACATCTTTGATCTTGTAATATCTTCATTTCAATTAAAAAGAATTAAAAAGAACGACTGTTTGATGATATTCTTTTAATGAACTGGTAATTTTTTTTCTGGTACTTATACAATTTTATAGTTAATTTTCATTTCTCCCATTTTTATTTGTAAAATACAAAAGTGCACAGACTTTGCGTACATTTAAGATCAAATACCGTAAAAGGCGAGTAACTGAGAATTATTGTCGACATTGCTATTTTAAAGTCAAAATTTGTTTGTTTTATTTTTCATATGGATCATTTGTTATGAATATTGGCATACAGAGACAAATAATCTTAAGTTTCAAAAATGATTCCAAAAGAAAAAATACTTAGCAAAAGAAATTGGCATTGGCCAAACACGAAGTCTCAACAGTCAAAACTGATGCTTCAATGCAGGCCGCGATCTGTTAGTGCCTGTGTGAAAGGAATGCATGTCCTCCAGGAACGGAGGTCCTCCGGACCTCCGTTCCTGGGAAAACATGTCCTATGGACGTGCGTTCCCTAGGATGTACTGTCCTACCCGGACCTAGATTCCCAGCTTTATTTATACGCAGGTAGGACATGTATTCCTGTCGGACATAGTTTCCTTTCACAAATGTCCGCACAATAATTATAAACACGGGGCCATAAGTATCGGTAATTTTCGGTCGGCTGGCAGCAGCTTCCACACAGGCTCATCAGTAAGACGGCTGGATGAATTACCAACAGCGTAGAGAAACGTAAGTGAGTTCGAATCCTAAGCAGCGATGTTATTCTATATGCAAATGTTATCCTAATTTACTCTCCATTTCAACGAAATAAACGCACTACATGATGTTATACTATTTGGATTTTTTTATGAGACGAGATTTTTAACTGTTTGATATAAATATCATCATTTTTAATTTTTAACGTTGTGCTATTTTAGAATTCCTTTAGTAGTTCCGTGGGTGAATTTTATTGGATAAGTGTACGCAAAAGAGCATATACTTTCTAATTTCACCGAAAAACACAAAGAATTAAAATGGGAAGTTCGGGATCCATATGCAAGGAAAAATTGCGCTCAAAAGAATTTTAATACTAATAGTAAAAATATAGTAATAGTAATAGTTAAGCAGGCTTTACAGTCCACCACCCACAATATGACCCAGACATATTTAAAACTCTTCGATATCCTTATAAAACCCATACTGATGTACGGATGCGAAATCTGGGGACCATCAATCGCATCTAAAAGCATAAAATCTCTTAAATACATGAATACTTTGCCATTCGAAGTAGTACAAAATAACTATTGCAAATACATTTTAGGTGTGAGGCGCAATGCCNTTTGCTTCATATATTATTCGAGGCACCTTCTTACATACTTTAGCCTGTATTCGGCCAGCAGTCAAACCACACTCGTACGGCATTTGAACTTCATTTGGAATAGTCTGACTGCAATTTGAAATTTACTCCCGATTATGGCACGAATTTTTCAATTAATTTATTCTGGCTGGTTCTATCTTGATTCCTGCTGGTTCCGAATAAGTGCGACGGGGGACCAGTCGCGTGCCAGTTCGAATATCCCTCGAATGTGATCAGAATGTTTTTAATGTTGTCGGAATGCCGTGAAAATATTAAGAATGCAGTCACAGTGCGCTTCGAAAGTTTTTAACATTCAGGCCGACCACAAGAATGGGTAAAACTATTTGAAATGCACTCATAATTTTTAGAATGCTCTTTGAATATCCAGGAATGCACAAAGAAATGTCTTTCCGACGGCATTCTTGTGCATTCTGCCTCTAGTGTGACAGGGGTATAAGGCGTCAGATGGCGTCTTTGGAATCGTATTCCACTTCTCTTGCTGTAGTGCCTGGATCAGCTGCTGGTTATTAGGCCACAGTGTGTGTGTGTGTGTGTGTGTGTGTGTGAGAGAGAGAGAGAGAGAGAGAGAGAGTGTGTGTGTGTGTGTGTTTAAGTTGCCATGGAGATAATGTGATGTGCTATTTACACTTTACACTGTAATACAGTATGTGGTAGATTTACCTATCAATTGAGAGAGTAGAATCAAGGTAGACACCAAGATTTTTGGCACTCCGTATATGAGAGATACTGGAATCACACTATTTCCAATCCTGATAATGAGATTCTGAGTTAACTTTATATTTTGTGGGGGAGAAATGGCCAGAAACTTGATTGCATCGTTAATTATCATTTGAGTCAAAATTTGTTCCTATAATTGTCCATACCTCAAGGTCTGAGGCAAAAGTCTTCATTCGTTCTATGGCAGCTTCATGGTGCTAAATGTCACAGTGGATGTGTCACTCAGTGTCATCGACATATGATGATAACCGCGGTAATACGGTAAAACCTTGAAGTGTGAGGCAAAAGATTTCTTTTGTTCTATGGCAGCTTCATGGTGCTAAATGTCACAGTGGATGTGTCACTGAGTGTCATCGGCATATGGTGATATCCTAGGTTAAACACGACAGTGGTGGTCTGTGGGGGGAGGTGATCTGTTACATCTTACAGGCAACGTATATTATGGAATATACTGCCCTGTACAATTATCATACATAAAAACAAGTTCGAGACACGTCTTTTGCTATTTAATTTCAAATTGTCAGACAAAATCGCATACTCTTATAAGGACAATCTTGTTCCAGTTGGTTCAGCTACATACATAGGAAGTTAAGCTTCTCTACATTCATATCTTACTTACAGTACTTTACACTACTTGACCGTGGATATATATACATTGTTCTGCTTTAATTATCTTACATAAAAACAATCCCTTAAACAATGCACGCTATAATGAATGTGTCATAGAAATACTCCCAGAGATATTAATATCTAAATAGACGCTGCTCTGAAAGCTAAGCTATGCGTTATATTACAATTGTCATCTAAAGTATATTAGCACACACATATATTCATGTGACCAACATACATTTACACCAATAGTTAATTAAC